ATAAGAAAAAATATACTTCAAAGCACTAAATTCCTAAGAAAAGATGAAAATACTGTCTCATTAAAGTATTTAAAAAAAATGTAAGTTGAAGCAATGAAAGTCAGTTACTAAAATACTCTAGTTCATAAGGAAGGAGAAAATGTAGTACCCAGTTAGTTTTTAATAAAAGGCAATAAAGCTACACCTAAATAATTATGATAACTTGATTTATGAATGACCTGCAGTTTGCCTTTCTATTCTGGTAACAAAAGATTTGCTTGGAAAATTTTACAGTGTAAATAAGACTGTAGAGAAAATGTTTAACTAATTTAAGGTTAAGGAAAACTGTTTTTATGATCAGATGCTAATTTGCATAAAATAACATTTTAATTACTTATCAGGCTTAAATACCATCAAAGCAGATTCCAGATGGACATTTGATGGATTAATATAGTTTGATTTATTATATATGTAGGAAAAAACCAGCTAGAATTGCATTTTAAAAAAGTTTCACTCATACATATTTCCATTTATAAAATTTAATGAAGTAGTTGACATCTCTAGAAACTCAATATTAGGCTGATTGTCTGATGTAAGAACCTGAAGAATAAGTATGTATATTAAGCAAAGGAATGCCTTTGAATTTTTATTAATAGGATATGGAATTCTTGGTTCATGAGCAAGTGATTCTGTGCATCATTCAATTAAGCACTCTTGAGCTTCCCAGTAAGGTTGACTGATGTCAAGGACCACTTCAAAAGCTGGGACAGTTCTGGTAACAGAATCGGCCCTTAGTTCATAGCCAAACTGAAATGGACAAAGTATGTTTTTAGTCCAATTTCTTTTCCCAATGGTTCTCTCTTCCTCCCCTACCAGGTATCTATTCCTCTATGATTCCAAGGTCACTCTGTTCTCTTCTAAAATTTATAATTCTCAGTATCAGATTTTGTCAGCTAATGAAAAACTTGTGCTTAAGTATAAGTGTGCTCAATGTTTTTCATTCTTTAGATGTCATTGCACCTGCAAGAAGAATTAAATATTTTAATATCTGGGTGTTTGAGCTAGAGACACCCAAGTTTGAATCTCAGTGTTTCCATTTACCTAGAGCAGTGCTTCTCAATATTCATGTGCACAGAAATCAACTGGATGTCTTATTAAAATGCATATTCTTATTCAGTCACATGGAGATAGGCCTGAGATTCTGCATTTCTAACAACTACCCATGTGATGCTGTAGATGCTATTCCATGGACTATGCTTTTTGTAGCAAAAACCTAAAACATCTTACCTGCCTCTGTTTCCTCACCTGTCAACTAAAAACAATAATGCCTATTCATACAGTTGTTGCAGGTGTTACATGAGTTGCCTTGTATAAGGTGCCTGGTGTAGTTCCTGGCCAAGAATCATGCAATGTGTGGTGGGTGTGGTGGTGGTAGTAAGTAGTATGATGACATAAGAGTTTTATAATATTAATATATTAGAAAATATCGGGCTGAAGACCTTGGAAATAATTTTTAAGTGTAGGAACTTACTTGGATAGCAAATGCTGTTCTTCAGAGGCAGCACACTCAACCACCTGCACCTGGGGCTTTTCCTGATGGGCAAAACATACACCTGGATAGTTCCTCAGTTGTCCTCCAGTAATTTAAGATTACAGAGGCTTCCAAGAGTTCATGGAAATGTTTTAGACTCTGTGATCCTAATGTTACAAGATATTATCTGTGAGTTAACATTTTCCTTCACAGCCCAACTTAGATGTTTTCAGTAGTGAATTCAGGACAAGGGGACATGGAAAAGGGTCTTTGTTTTGTTGTGTTTTTTTGTTAGTATCAACAGGTCTGGAGGAATCTGCATTGAGTGTTTCAGCAAGGGGAGAATTCAAATGCAATGTTACAATGCCTGTTATGTTCATAAAATAGTATGTGGAAGATAGAAGTAGGATATGATATTCATCTCATCTTTATCCCCAAGGGTCTTCAAGAACTTGAAATTAAACAGTTTCTCCTTGATAAGGGATAGTAGCTGGGGAAGGAATATGAACCTCTTCTTTAATGTCTTTGGTTGCTTACATTACTCTGTAATTCCAGGAACCACTGCATATCAGTGCAGAATAACTGGAGTTTCAATACCTCAATGCTGAACAAGCAGACCAGAGAAACAAAAGAAGAAAGGTGATATTACGAATACTTGGCTGTATCACTGGAGTCTTACTGTCCATGTTTTATTGGCTGATTTTTCTGAAAAACACATTTTTTCTCTTGAGTCTTTTTTTCAAGATGCTATTTCTAAAAGGTCAGTTATTTGTCATATCACTATTACTGCATATTAAAATGCAGAATACATCAAATTAGAATAAGCTAAAAATATTCCAGCAGTTCGCTCAGTGCATATTTTAATGACAACATTTTTAAGATTGGTATATTTAAGGGCACAGGTAGTATTTACCATTGAATATCTAACAAGATTTCCTCATTTGAGGCAATGGTTATCTTTCATAATCCATTTGAAATAGCCTTCACGGTCCCTTTAACTTTAAGAGGATATGTTTTCCTTCTTGGATTTTTTAAGGGAGGCATTACAAGTCTTTGATTTTCTGCAGTACTGCCTGAAAGATGAAGATGTCAAGATGGATGACAGCTAATGAACTGAATGCTCAATAGTTCATCACCTTGGTTTTTCCTGAAACCATTTCTTGTCCTTGCCTGGTAAATTGAAATCACTTGACTTTGTTGCAATACCTGACAGGAGTCAAATTCCTAAAATATCTGGGCAGAAGCAAATTCTTTTAGCATCACAAATCTTCTACTGTCCAAGCCTGTTAGGTCAGTGGGTTAAGGTGAGAAAAGATGAGACCATGGTCATGTTCTATCTGGCACTTGTTGCCTCCTTTGACTCTGACAAAAAGTGCTGTAGACATTGATCCTCTCACCTTGCCATTGAAAGAGAGAGTGAAGTGAGAATTGTGCATATCAACACAAGTGCATTTCCACTCTTGGAAAAATAGCTCAGACAGTAAGTCTACTCATGATTGACCATTTATATCATCTTGACTTGTAAAGTATATTTATAGTTTTCATGTTCAAATAGTCATTAATGTCAAGACATATTTGAATTATAAAGTTGCATATACTTAATATTGTTTTCTAAACACTGAAACAGTCCATATACATAGAATATTAAATAATACCAATCAATTTCTTTTTAGGTGACATATTAGCATAAGCTGTATTAAAGGAAATAGTCTTAATCAAGATTTTGACATATCTGATATGGCATCAACTTTAGCTATAATTATAAGGAATAATTGTTATTCATAGTTGATAATATTCCTAAATGCCAAGCTTTATTAGTACTAAATGTGAAGCCTTTCTGGATATATCTATATCAACTAAGTGAAGAAAATAATGGCCAATTAAACAGTTCTTTGGTTTATAATCTTGATGTAATAAAAGTATCTTCAGTATGAGTGGCATTTTCCAGTTGTAAAATATTTTCTATAAATATAGCTCTATATGCTAAAATATATAGAATTGTTGCCCATATTTATAGATAAGAAAATGGAGCTCAGAGAAGTTGGATGATTTGTCTAAGATAACATAATTAGTAAGTGTCAGACTAGGATTTTATCAATTTAACATCATTTATTTAGTTTTTAGTATATGCTAGTTATCCTATATAAGCCCTCAGAAATCTTAGGGTCTAATGAATGAAAAAGAAATTAAGTAAACAATTATGCAAATATGTTAGCATTCATGTTGATAAATGTTTCAAAGGAAAAGTAGAGCATGCTTTGAAAGAGAAGGGGGCACCTGGTTACGAATGTGGGTTGGACAAGGACTAAATTTAGGGAGTTACATGTAGTCTGAGGCCTGAAAGCTGAGCAGGAGATAGGCAGGTGAGTGGGATCTAGGGACAGAGCCATAGAGTCCATGACAAGCAGAACAAAGCTTCATGTCCTGGATGGATGAAAGAGAGGACAGTGTGATTGAGAGGGAAATAAGGGTGATGAGATTGGAGAGAGAGGCAGAAGGCAGCCCATGCTCAGCATTGTAGGCCATGTCATGGAATTTGAATTTTGTGTGACACGTGACATGGTGGGTAGGGAGATAGCATGGTCTAACCTGAACCGGGCTTTGTAATTCCAAGTTTAGTGGCTATTATTATCATGCATCATCATTCCTCTGGTAATGCTCCAGTGGCGTTCCTGTTTTCTTTATATACCTAACACTTACACGCACTGTACTTCTTATATACAGTGAATATACGGGCATTTGATTTGAATATATGGCTGCCATAGTGGTAACTCAAGTGATTTTTTTGTCTTTTGACTTTTGAAAGGACTTAATTCTGGCCAGGAAATTAATATAAGGATCTAATAAAAAATGTATTTCATCCTTTGTGAGCTTCAGTAATGTGGGATTCAGCTTCAATTTTGACATGATTTCTTCATTATGTTAAACAAGTGGTTGCATGATGTTTGTCTTAGTCTGTTTAGTGTTGCTATAAAGGAATACCTGTGGCTAGGTAATTTAAAAGAAAAGAGGTTTATTGGCTCACAGTTCTGCAGGCTGTACAAGAAGTATGATGCCAACATCTGTTTCTGGTGAAGGCTTCAGGGAGCTTCCACTTAGGGTGGAGAGTGAAGGGGAGCTGGCTGTGCAGGGATCACATGGCTAGGGAAGAAGCCATGAGGGGGGAGGGGCCAGGCCCCTTTTAACAGCCAGCTTTCAGGGAAACTGATTGAGCTAGAACTCATTCACTCACCCATTAATCTATTCATGAGGGATGCACCCTTGTGACCTAGGAGCCTCCCATTAGACCCCACCTCCAACACTGGAAATCCAATTTCAACATGAGGTTTGGGGAGACAAACATCCAAACTATAGCAATGTTTTCTACCAAAATAGAATGAGCTGACCAAAGAAGGAATATTTTAAGGATATAGAATGATGCCCTTGACTGATTGTCAGGATTTTCTCTTGTCTCTGCTCTCATTCATCAGTCTTAGCAGCCTATATCTAGATGTTGAACAAGTATTCTGCCCTTGAGGACAGCCTGACCCTTTTAGAGGTGAGTTTGTGTGCGTGTTTTAAAGCAGAGAAATACATTTACTTTGAAGTTGCTTGCTTTAAAACAACCTACACTTCTGTCCTTTGAATTAATCTTCTAAAGTTTTAGAGAGACAGGACACATAGATGGGATTATCCACGTAATTTTTGTTTTCCTGAGAGAATCAATTTGTGTGCCAAATGGCATTTTGAGGCCAGTACGTACAAAGTGCTTGAGACCAAAATCCATAATAAACATTAACCTTTGAGAAACTTCATGTTCTAAAGGAAATTAAATGGATTTTAAAGGTATAAGTATTTAATTTAATTTCAACAATAGTTAATAATGTATCACTATAAATGTTTTCATGCTTATCAAACTGCTGTATGGTTTGCCAGTGCTAAGGTTACTAGGCACTTGGAACTGGGCTGCTAGATTTTTATTATATTTCCTGAGTCCTATATGTACCCAGGAACATTTCGCCAGAATCATCTATAGGGGCAATTTCAGTGTGTGTCAAGGAGTTCCTTATCTTTACACAAGAGTGGCCTGTAGGAATTATACTTTATTTTTACTTACTTATTCTTTTACTATAACATAACTTTTATAAATCCAGTGTAGACATAATTTAGTAGTAAACAGCACTATGAAGGCATTCATGTTTCTTCTACTTGAAACAGCATTAGTTTCATGTATTTGTATTTAAAAAACAACTTGAACTTATGTACGGAAATATTCCACATGCTAAAAATCATTTTAATTTTCTTGGTATTATAGTTCTGCTTCTTTTGGTGCTTGCCATTTATGCTTATGAACAATAATGAATTTAAAAATCATCAATATATTTGTGTTGCAAAATACTCAGAAGCTGTTAAAGCTTATAATTTTAGTGTTTTAAAAATTAAGCTCTAGAAGTTAATTCTATTAAAGCCTTGTCCTTTCAGGGTTTTTATCTAACCATACTGTATTATTTTTAGGACAATTGAATTATCAGTTTTCCTTGCAACTTTTTTCTGAATGTTACTATGTTTTGTTAGTTTGAACCATTTACAACTATAGATTTTCCTTCATGTTTGGCACAGAAGACAAAATGATCCAATAAATTGAAAAATATATATGTACTGGAATATAATCCTCATAGTTTTTATTATTATTATTGTTACTATTGTTTCCTTCAAGAGACTTTTCCTTGGTAACACACTGTAAAGTAGGTGCCTTCTTTCTCAGGGTGAGCACTTATTGCTAGATTGACCCCACTGGGCTATCCACAGTTGGATTCCCCCAATGGGCAGTCAGCTCCCATTTATTGTCCCTTTCCCAAATCCATCTTAAAATTTCATCTTTAAGTTAGGTATGAGGATACTAGCCAGGTTTTTTCTTTCTTATTTCCTCATTATCAAAGATAGTTTTCCAATTGGGGGTGGGGGTAGAAATTGAACAGTGAGAACATATACATTACTTAGACCCAGCACCATTTGGCTGCCATCTATGTAGATCTGCCTCTGTTGATACCTCCTGGTTCTAACTTTTACCATCCACAGAACAGTCTGATCTCTGAATATATTTATTCTCCGTCCTGCGGGTACAGCATAGGGACATGTGAACAATCCCTTCTGTCCAAAGCTAACATAGGGCAGAAACTCTCACAGTGTGGCTGGTGGATTCTTACATCAGAATTCCCTGGAGTGCCTTTGAAAGTGTTTTCTGGCCACCTCTCAGGTGGAATGAATCAGAATTGCAAGTGTTGCAGGATTGGTGATCTGCATTTTTGCTAAATCTCCCCAGTGTGGTTCCTAGGCACACTATAGTTGAGTGACCAGTGTTATATGTACTGAATTCACGTGTGGAAGCCATAATCCTCAATGTGACAGGATTAGGAGGTGGAGCCTTTTAGAGGTAATTTAGGTTTAACTGAAGTTATGAAGCCGGAGGAGTGTCCTTATAAGAAGAGAAAGAGACACTAGAGCTTTCTCTCTCCCTCATGTGATATGACAAGAAGGCAGCCATCTGCAAGCTAGGAAAAGAGCCCTCACCAGAAAGTGACCATACTGGCACCCTGATCATGAACTTCTCAGCTTCCAGAACAGGAAGAAATAAATGTCTGTTGTTTAAGCCATCCAGTCTATGGCATTTTGTTATAGCAGCTTGACCAGGCTAAGACAACTTGTGTCCCAGGGGAAACTACCCATATCTACATAAAGAGGTAGCTTCATCTTTTAGGATGAGAATGAAGAACTAGGGTACAAAGAATGATTACTCAGAGATTATTAGTTCTTGCATATAATTGTCTCAATTTTTCTACTATGATGACTGTTGCCTATTACCAGGTGTCTTTGCACCACTCCTTTCTTATCCCGGGTACAGCTCCTTCCACCAGCTGCATTTGGTGCAGTAAAGTTTTCAAAGCATGGCTCAGGTGTTGGATTTAAACTCCTAATTAGACAGATTCCTAATCTTCCCTTGGCTAGCCAAAAGATTGATTGTGCAAGAGTCCTTATGTTTCTGCAGAGTTAACTGAATTTACCATTAAATTTGAGAATATCATGTGACCTCTCAGTACACATTAAAATTGACAACATCCCTTTAGTTTTCAATATAAAGTCATGTCATTTTTTTGAGATTCTGAAAAATTCATCAACTATCATTGAATTTTCTGAAATTAAAACAGCATGTTAACACATAGCAGTAAATATGATTTATGAGGTGGTATAGCTATTCAGCATATGCTGTAGCATTTAATTCTTGGTTATTACTATTAGCCAGGGAATCACTGCAAAATGCTTGAGAAATGGAACTAATAGAAGAGTATTTTATATAAAATGAAAGTACCAAAGGTACATGTTTCTAAGTTTTATTGGGAAGGATAGTCACATGGTTTGAAAAATTGAAAGTCCACAGCCACTATCTTATTCCTTCTGATAATAGAAGTTTCATACTGAATACCTTCTTAGTATAATATTATGACTATATTTGATGACATAACACCTAAGTCTAGGTTAAAAAATTTTAGATGTAGGCAAACAAATTATTTAATTATAAGTAAAGGAAAAAATAAATTGATATTCTAACTCAGCTCTATAATAGCTTATTTATTTATTTGCTTTAACTAAATGGAGAGTGAACTTAGATGCTGAATATGCAAATAGGCTTAAGTGTGGTTTAAATGAATTGAAGGAAAATACATTCACTGTGAATTGTTAAGATAAGTAGATATTTGGATGCACATTCCTTACTTTATGAAATTTATATCATTAAAAAATCATTGTTTGCAATGTGTGCCATTGTCACGACAGAACACAGACCTGAATGAAACAGAGATTTGACCTACTATGACACTTATTTTTGGAAGACAGCATGGTGTTTTATACCAGCTCCTGGACAAGATAATGAAATGATCTGAGTTCTAGTCATGATTCTGCCCCAAGCTTGAAGTTCACTGGACTTTTGGCACATAATAGGTACACAGTAAATGCTTTAACATAGATTTGTACAGTTATATAAGTCTACACCTACTGAGATAGCTTTCACACTGAAAAAGAAATAGGGAATATATTCTACCAAACTTTCAGAGATGTTAACTCTTAAAATGAAATAAAAATACAAATTTAACAATTAAAATCTATAACATTCAAAAAATTTTATCTATGGACATGTAGTTGTATGTAACAATTTTAAAGTTTTTTTTTTTTAAATCAATGTTTTGGCTTCCATTTTATAAGTTGTAAATTAAAGTTACTATTCCGGAGTTTGTTCTTGGTGTGGTTATCTTATTTGACCAGGTCCTATAATAGTATTTTGATACACTTCCAAAAGCATAGCCTTTGTTATCTTCTGAGGCCGTAGAGGTGAGAAATCTGGACTTGAAAATGAGAAATCTAGGAAATCTGCCCCTTATTATCTTTTGACCCTCGATAAGTCATTTAATGCCTCTAAATCTAGGTTTCCTATGTATTAGTTAGGAATAACAACAGTAGTAAAGAAAATAATACTTCATTGAATTTTTGTACATTGTAAAAGAGCCCATTTTGGATAATTGCTCTGTAAACTCTGATGCAGCAACAGACACAAGATTGCCCCAAGTGGTCTTCCCAAAATTTGCTGTTTTCAAACTATTCTCCTGAGAAAGAGATGTTCTTTGGAAGAGTTTTGCAGTATGGAGGTTTTCTTGACTCTTTATTCCTAATGCTCATTCACCTGACTTTGCTCCCTTTTTAAATTTCACTACATATGAGTTAGGAAGGAAGGCGCCAATATAATGGGACTGCTAAGAGTTCATGAAGGCTGAAAGATTTCAAAATATTTCTTAATCATTATCCAAGAAAGAAATGAAAATAACAAAGCATCTTATATTGGTGCTTTTGCTTGAGAAGATACTCCCATTGGTATCTCAAGCTATATTTCATGAAGAATCACATACGTTTGTGACAGGTGCCATTAGCGGTCATACTTGTGACCTGACAAATAGAGCAAATGACATAAACCTTCCAGCCTGCCAGAGGCTAAGCCACAATCTGTGTCCCAGATATAGCCCTTTAATGAGACACATAGATACTCCAGTGAGCACAGTCCTTTAGGTGACATACCCTTTCCTCTGCTCACAAGGCACCCTTCCCTCATCAACAAGAATGGGCAGTGGGAGAGAAATCTGTCATCATTAAACAGTAATGACTTCCTGAGAAGTGGACCAGCACACTTTAGAGGAGAGTGTGTTTTATTTATTGATTTGTTATTTTCAACTGACTTTGATTCCTTTGATTTCTCATGTGTACTTGTGATATTTATGTAAAAATACATACATTTTGTTTATGACACAATGCTAAAGCAGTGATTGAAACAAACTTGGCAACATCCCCTTGCTATTAATTCACGCAGGCTGTCTGCCACCAGAGAACATAAGGTGACTAATTGAGAGATGAGCAATGGCTACCTAAACCTAAGAAATAATAACAAGAACAGTGATCATATTTTAATATGAATAACACTTTCTTAAGTTTTATGTAAAAATGAATAAAAGCATTTTCAGATATCCTATATATTTTTATCAAGAACATGCAACATAAACAATAAACAGTGTTCTTTTTATGCAAATATAGGTTCCAGACATATTTCCTTGTATATCCTCTATCCTCTGACACACACACACACACACACACACGTACACACACACAACACTCAGGATATAACTACTTCCTGTATATAAATCCTAGCAATCCACCAGCTACTGAGTTTGTAGGTAGGAGGAAAGTCAAACTCAGGGTCTGGGATGAGGTTTCTTCTTCAATTCTGTGTAAGTTAGGTTAAGGTTTATGCTGCCATACCAGAAAATCAAAAATATAAGTATATTTCCTTTAAGTGTATAAAAGTATAAGTTGCAAGAATAACATCCACTCATGTTCCATTGTCAAGAACATTGGCTACATCTTGCTGGGACATACAGTCTCTCTGCCTCTAAATTACCCAGGACAGTAGCCACTGGCCACATGAGGCGATTGAGACCTTGAAATGGGGCTCATCTTTTTTTTTTCTTTATTTTTTTTATTATTTCAAAATATTCCAGGGGTACACATGTTTTTGGTTACATGAATCACTTTTGTTGTGCTTGAGTCAGGGGTATAAGTGTGCCCATCACCCAGATAGTGTTCATTGTATCCGTTAGGTAGGTTTGTGCCCATTCCCTCTTCCTCCTCCCTGCTTGATTTCCACTCGGTTTTACTTCCATCTGTGCACATGTGAGCTCATCTGTTAGTTCTACTTTAATAGTGAGTACATGCAGTATTTGTTTTTCCATATTTCAGATACTTCATTTAAGATAATGGTCTCCAGTTTCATCCAAATTGTTGCAAAAGACCTTAATTCATCCCCCTTCATGATTGAGTAGTATTCAGAGTATACATATATCACATTTTCTTAATACACTCATGAACTGATGGGTGGGTTGATTCTACATCTTTGCAGTTGTGAATTGTGCTGTAATAAATGTTTGAGTGCAGGTGTCTTTTTGATGAAAAGTCGTCTTTTTGTTTGGGTAAATACCCAGTATTGGGATTGCTGGATCAAATGGTAGGTCTGCTTTTAGTTCTTTGAGAATTATCTGCAGTGTTTTCCATGAGGGGTATACTAATTTGCAGTTTCACCAAAAGTGAATAAATGTTCCTTTCTCTCTGCATCCACACCAGCATCTGTTGTTTTTGGACTTTTAAATAAGAGCCATTCTAACTGGGGCAAGGTGATATCTCATTGTGCTTTTTTTTTTTTTTTTGTTCTCAACTTGTTTAATACATAAAAGGATAATAAAAATGGTAGTCAGAGTTTCAGTTTTTAATACATTCTTGGAATGTTGGCCATCCAGAGGCTTTTTCAAATGGCTGGAGAAAATTACCCAACTTTTTTGACTCAAAGAGTTTGCTTTAAATTTTTAAAAGACCGCATTCCATGGGATTGTGGTGG